AAATATTGACCCCGAGTACGATGGGATGAAACACCACCCAGTCTTACACATCCCCACAATTAATGCGTTTTTCAGTCCCTTGTTACAACCACTCTGTCAATCCCTCTCATTGTGGGTCTCCCTCTTTATGACTAAACCCCCACTTTACCAATCACAATGTCCTTCTCCAGCGACCAACTTCTCTTAATAATATGTCCAAAGTATTGTGAACGTTTACGTTTTAAAAATCAAGGTGTAGTCTTATAGCCAAACTAACTGCGTGCTGTTCTGGAGATGTGAAGTGTTTTTGAGTGCAAGGCACCTCCTTCTAGAAGAGGAGAGGGTGACGATAAGCCCAATTACTGCCCGAGACCTTGTCCTTTCCTCAACTCCCTAACCCTTATCACCCACCTATCCGCCCACAGCATGAGGGCTCCTAACCATGCAGGCAGACAGAGGGACCTTTTATGAAGAGAACACGCACCCCTACCTGAGCCTGGGGAGGCCCTCCCACCCTCCCTCTGGCCTCACAGTGAGAGCCGCCACTCTGGGGCCTTTGGGGAGGATAGTGTTTCTGTCGAAAGCACAACTGAGAAAAGTCTGCTTGGCTCTGAGATTTCATAAACATTTTTTTTTCTTTTTCTTTCCTTTAGTTTTATTCAATTCAAAAATAGCACAACAGACACACCCATTTACCCACAATTGCTTTGACTAAACAGATGTTAATGTTTGGACACTTTTGTCTCAGAGCTCCTCCGTGCCAGAGCTTGTTCTTTTCTTAAAGAAGTAAAACATTAGACATGCAACTGAAGACCCCTTTCACCTCTGAGCTCTGCCTCCTACCTTCCAGGCACCTCCGCACATTTCTGTGTTTTTAAACTATGCTTGTAGCATTCCTAAACAACACATTCTGTTATGTATTTGAAATAGGCATAAAGATAGTATTCTGTTTATTTTGCAAATTGTTTTTTCTACTCCATAATATGGTCTGAAGATTTAGGCATGCTGATCCCTATAAATATTACTCTTTACTTCAGCTGCTGTGAGGAGTTCTGGTGGCATAGTGTGTTAACATCCTGGACTGCTAAGGTCGTTAGTTCCAATCCACTAGCTGTTCAATGGGAGAAAGGTGGCAGTAAGCACTTTGAAAGATTTATAGCCTCAGAAACTCCATGGAGGGCTGCTATGAGTTAGAATCCATTCACCGGCTGTGGTTTGGCTTGGTTAGCTGCTGTGTTCTATTGCTTGGATAAAAACACCAAACCCAACCCATTGCTGTCGATTCTGACTCACAGAGATCGTGTAGCACAAAGTTGTTGTAGTTGTATACTGTCTAATTGGAACTCACTCACAGCTGACCCTCTCATTCAGAGGCAGTAAATCGCATAGGAGGAGATTGTCCATCTTTCTCCAGCAGAACAGCTGGTAGCCAGCACAAAGTAGACCTGTCTATAGGTATGCTTCCATGGCTGTAAATCTTTACACAAACAGAGTCTCATATCTTTTTCTCAAGGAGCAGCAGGTGTTCAAACTACTGACCTTTGAATTAACAGCCAAATGCCTTAAGTAAAGTGCCACCCAAACTCCTTTTCCTGGTTTATGTAGTTTTCTGCTGAAGGGCACGAATAGATGGTCTTCATATTTTTGTTGCTTCAGTAGAAATTTTTCTTTGTGTCTTCCTAGCATACCGTCACCACTTTCTTGAGGATGAGACACAGAATTGGAGTATGGCTGCTAACTGTGCAGGCAACTTACCACGTCGACGCTTTCACTTCCTCAGTCATGAAATGGGACTCCAGCTTATGGCTTCATGGAACTCTTTTAGAGAAAATACAATAACTTAATGTTTCCAAATGATAATTCATTCCAGAAGGTGCTACTAATCCTCTAAAGACTGAAAAAGAAAAATGTTTCCAGTGAATACACATCTTAGACAGGGGACATAATGGGAATGGTGATATTTTAGAATGTTTCTTTCTCTAAAGATGATTGATGTGGACAATTTGCAACAGCCCGCTCTGTGTGCCCTTAGACCACTCACCTCGCAATGGCCATCTAGACTTGAACTTTTTCTACACCTCAGGCCCTAACCCTGCAGGGCTCCCTTTCCTCCACCCACCTACTCTTTGGAGCCCAGATTATGTTGGGATCTGATTGAAGTCCATTTCTACAGTGACCCAGGAGTTTTTTCCTGTGACAAATGATTGTCTCAAGCTGGTAATAGGATTGGCGTGAACCGAGGTAGGGAAGGCACACACATTTGAGTTCTGTAGATTTTCTTGGAGTCTTGGTGGTATCATAATTAAGTACTTGACTGCTATTTAGTTTTTAGTTCAACTCAGCAGAGACTTCATGAGATTGAAGTGATCTGGGCATCTGTTCCATACAGGGCACAGCCCAAGACATTGGTTGGAGAAAGTGCTACTCAGTCTTAAAGAATCGTTATGAACCAGAGCTCACTCAGTGACATTCAACAACACAGTTTCTTGACCTTTCTTTCCTTTTGGCTTTATGGGGGGGGGTGTATTTGATAGCTTTATTTAATAATGGAACTTCTGAGACACCCCTGCCATTTCAGAGTACAACTTTAGATCCTACATGGGAAAATATGCCCCCTCAATCCAAAACTGGAGTAACTCAACTTTTTATTTTTAATATTCAGGCTGAGAAGCAAGACCTCTGGAATGTATAGCAAATGACCTAAAACTGAAGACAAGTCTTATCCAGGGAAGTTCCCTGAACCAGCAACTTGGAGAGCGAGAAAAGAAAGGATTTTTCACTAAATAAACTCCACTACAATCCCTGGCCCAACCCCAAAAGGTGTCCACCAGTAGAGCCCCCAGAGTCTGAATTAATTCCTTCCATCTACCAGTGCCTTTGAGGTGGGAGGACGGAGACTCTACTGTGTGATTTACAGCCTCAGAAACCGAAACCCAATGGAGGGTCAGCTCTTAGTTCAGATGACTCTATTGAAGGCAATAAGAGGGAGAGTGTGAGAATGAAAGAGAATGAGCGAGCCAGAAGCGGAAGGGAAAGTAGCTAGAGCTATTATCTTGGTGACAAAGAGTTAAATTGGAGAGTTCGACAAAGTACTGATGAAGAGAAAAGTTAAGCTCATGAGCTTGTAGAGCTAGTCATACACAGGTGTGTCCAAAATCTACCCTTTCTTGCTTTCTGACTTTGAGCTAACTGCTTAACTTCTCTACGTCTCCATGCGATGGGGTGGCAGCGCCTTTCTCATAGGGCTGTGGTACCTACTATGCCTGGGCCAAACAAGGCCTTCCAAAATGCTTTCTCCCTGATTCACTGTACTATGGATCTGCTTTCTGTGAACCCAAACACATTTCCCAAGTGATCACTAGAGGCCTTGGGAGGATTGGGACTTCACACTTTCCCAAGTCAGCTCAACGACCTCCCAGTCAGGGTTGCAGTAGAGAGGTGAAACTTCTGAGCTAGATTCCTGAGTTCAAATCGCAGTTCGACCACTAGTATAATGACTGTGGTAAACTCTCAATTTTAAAGTGAACGCAAAGGGGAGTTGTACTATATTGTGGGGTTTGTTAGAGAGTGAGGAAAATAAGACCTTGTTAATTGGAAGACAGGCATCCTTATCATTTTTAACTCATTGACTTCTGGTTAATTATGGTTTACAGGGATTCTCCATCGGGTTTATGAAGCTGTAAATATTTATGGGAGGAAACTTCCAGTCTTTTCCCAACAAAGTACCTAGTGGATTAAAACTCCTATTGTTTGGTTAGGAGCCCAACACGCTCTGAACTAAGCCATCAGGGCACAAACAAATAGAGTAATGGCTACATTGGACAGGAAGTTAGGAGCAGAGCGGAGCTTCGAAACCGACCATCTGGCTGCAAATCTGGTACTCATTTGTCTGTTATGTCACTCTCAAAGAGCTTGTGACATCTTTAACAATCCAGTGAGCGACAAGTGGGTTTTCTTGGCCAGAGAACGGAGTCATCGCAGATAACAGTCAGGCTGAGGAGTTGGGATTCCATCGTGCAAGGCAGCATGCTGGGCAGAAGATGGTTTGCAGCAGGCAAGGTGCGATTCACTCAGCAAGACCCCTCAGTAGACTGTTGCCACAATGGAGGCCAGAGATGACCAGTGGCCTGGAATGAAGCAGGGAGGGGGGAAGGGATGGGGTCGCAGAGAAGGGGCTGCTTCCTGTAGAGTTGATCGTCTGGGCAGAAGAGGCTGGCTCGGGGCGTGAGGTCGCCGGCGGCCAGCCAGCCAATGGCGGTGTCCCGGGCGCAGCCCCGCCTACGGGGCGGGGGCCTGGCGGGCGGGGCGCGGGCTGCGGGCTCCGGGCTCGGGTACCAGCGCTGCCGCATCCCCGCCGCGCTCTGTGCTCTGTGCTCTACGCTCCGCGCTCCCGGCTCCCGCGCCGCGCCGGCTCCCGCCGCCCAGCCGCCGCCTCCCGACGAGACGTCTACTCGGCGGAGCACAGCTCGGTCCACTCCTGGTGGGTGAGGGGCAGCGGCGGAGGGCAGCGAAGGTTCAGCTGTCTCCAGTCCGGGTGGGTGAGGGGCTCCGGGAGAAGGGGGACGTGCCTTGACCACCCCACAACGTGGCTGGGACAGACCTGGGGTGCTAGGAAGGGTCGGAGCGCTAGAGGAGGACTGAGTTGGTGGAGACGTGGTAAGGCTCGAACCCAGGACGGAACTGGGGTGCACTGAGGGCTGTTAGCAGACTGGGGCTGAGCTCTGTCACTGGGCTGGGGAGAGCGCAGCTTTGAGGTGGGGAACAGAGCTCGGTTTATGCTCCAGCACAGGGGTAGGAGGTGTGGGCGCGCAGGACTGGAGTCAGCCGGGCGCTTCTGTCGGAGGGAGTGGGGCTGGGGGCTGCGCCAGGAAGGGGCTCTGTTTCATCCCTCCTTGGTTGGTTGCGTGGGGCTAAGGGCGGGCCAGGACTCAGTGTGCCTGGGCGGTGGGGTGGTAGAGGAGGACGGTGCTTGTGCCTCTGACTGCACTCCGGGATCCACAGAGATCCACAGGCAGCACGGAGGAGATGTCGCGGCTCGGGGGCGCCCTGCTGTGCCTGCTGCTGGCGGTGGCTGTCCCCACGGCTCCTGCACCGGCCCCCACGACCTCGGCTCCTAGAGAGTCCGGCCCGGCTCTCAGCTACCCGCAGGAGGAGGCCACCCTCAACGAGATGTTCCGCGAGGTGGAGGAGCTGATGGAGGACACGCAGCACAAGCTGCGCAGCGCGGTGGAGGAGGTGGGTGCACCCTCAGGGCGCCTGGAAGCGCAAGGCTGGGGAAGCCTGGGGCTGCCAGCCGGCGCTTCTCCTTAGAAGCCGGTGGAGACTCTGTGGTGGGTTGGGAAGAGTCCTCTGCAGTTACTGAATGACCACGAGGTAGCGCTGAGGGAATCCTAAATCCGGTCTCTCGTACTACCTTCCCGCTAGAGATTCAGGGATCTGAGCCGGCCCACCTGGCTCCTGCCGAGGCGAACCTGATTCAACACCTGCCTGCAGACATCCCACCACCACAATAACTGTCTTCTAGCGCAGATGCAGGTGGCCTTCCGCTCTTGCCTGCAATTGCTTGCAAGGCCCTTGGTGTTCCAGCGCCATGGCTTGGAGACAAGCTGAAGGAACTCCTAATGCTCTCCAAGTTCCAGCTTGTTCGCCGGGCTTTGAGCTTGTGGCGTCGTCCCAAGATCCAGTTAGGGTGCCATTTGCTGACAAAGAAACAAAAAGCTATGAGTGTTGCTGGCAATCTTCTAAGTGACTATCTTGCTTCTTCCAGTAATGAGTGAAATCAAATGAACTCCTAAATCCCAGCCAAATAATGGAAACAAACAAACAAAACCCCAACAAAAACACCTCAAAAAACAAACTATGATCCCAGAGGTACGCGGTTTGAATCTACCAGATGCTCTGCTGGAGAAGGAGAGGCAATCTACTCCTGTACCAGTCAGATCAATTTGACGGTACACACACACACACACACACACACACACACACACACACAATTTTTAAAACCCAAACTATGGAAGGAGGAGTCATTTTAGAGACAAATCCTGCCCCAGGGCAAGAACACTCTGGAGTCAGATCCAGGCGTAAGGTCCTCTGCTTTGTGGCCTTGGGCATGTCTCCTACTGTTCCATGCATCAGTTTCCTGTGAGAATTAAATGTTGTGAGCCAAGTGCAGGCACTTAACATGTAATAGGTATTCATTATATTAAAAAGCAAAAGGAAGTTACCATGGAGTCAGTGTGCTATATTACACAGTAGAATTGATGCACCGAGATGATCTTGGATACAATCTTTTTTTTACCAAAAATTACTTGTATTTTTATTGCTTACACAAAGGCATTTGGTAGTATGGATTATAACAATTTATGGATTACATTTAGAAGACTGACAGCAGATATCATTGAAAAGAACAGTAGTACAACTCCTTCTCCACCAGAGATATTTTGTTATTATTTTTTTATTAATTTCAGTGAACATCTACAGAGATTTTGGACTTCCATTCATTCATTGTTGCACTTTTCTCCCCGCCC